TCTTCTAGTAACTTAGTGTAGTGATAATGTAATCCTTCATTGGAATTTTACTTAATGACTTTTACTAGCCAACTTCCTTCCCACTTAATTTATGCAAAGAGTCTTGACACACTGACAGTTATAGTTTCATAGTCTTGTGTCTGCTTGCAGAAATAAGTTGGCGAATGCTCTTGGTTATTTTTTTTCCTCTTGGTTTTTAATAATTTGGGAAGAGGAGGCAGGTACTCAACTCAGACAGAAGTAAGTAATGGAGAAAGGCTAAGTCTGCTCCAGGTCTGCAGAGGAATAATACTTTCGCTAATCTAGGTACTGCTTTTCAATGCAAAGAATCTTTTGTATTCTGATACGCTTAGGTACTATTACTGTTATCATTCTAAAAAGGTAGTAATAGTGATTGATGGCAATGCTTACAATTTCTAGAAGTTACAGAGGCTTCACTCTGTAATAAATCAGTAAATCTGTAAACTGGGAAACCGCAGTCCAGATGTGTTAACTCTACCGCAAGTAGAACCAGCTCCTAAGGATGCTGATGTAACACGGAGAATTACTGCTTTCCTATTTTCTTCTCTGTATTACAATCTGAATATCTATATCTGTACTGCTGAAAAGCTCCTTTTTGTTTAATAAGGAGGAATTCTCACTGGTTTCCCCCTGTCCTCAACTTGGAGAGAAAACTGCCAGCTCCCTCTCATTCCAGAGAAACTGCAATATATGCCAGAGCCGCAGAGACGCTGGGGATCGGAGAGCCCTTTCCTCCTTGGCATGCGTTGTGCCAGGGTTCTGCTTAATCCATGCTGGCCTCTTCTCGCATGAGGGAGCACGAGATGAATGTCAGGATGTGTTACAAACTCCCAGTGGAGGTGCGGGAAGCTCCACTGCCACCTGAGCGAAGGGAGGCAGTAGGTGTACAGTACAGTGTCCAGGTCTGCTTTCTGGTCAATTAAATCTGTTTAAACTTTTTGGGTTAGCAGTCCTTTTTCTCAAAGGATCTGGCAAAACAACTTCAGAATCCAGAACCAGTTGTATCTTGTGGAGGAGAAATAAGTGCAGCCAGTAAAAGAAACTGATTTTCTTATAGCTAATAGATTGATTAGCAATTCTCGTTTTGTGGATTTGCAGTATTCTGTAAGTGAAGCAATTCTGTAAAAGAAGTTGCCTTTGTGGCGTTCATCCTGTGATCTTTGGAACTTGTCAGAGATTCCAATTTTATAAATATTCAAAATGTCCAGAAGCTTAGACCTAATAGTCGATGCATGTATTGCAGTGCCCAGGAGCTAAAATCCTTTTCTGGTGAAATGCTTTCTTCCCTCCATGCCCACATGCTATTTTGCACAAGTGGCAAAGATCTAACTCTAAGCCATAACTGCTACTTGGATGTAATATTTGTGTCCAGTAAGTAGGAAGAAGTTTATTGCAAAAACAAACAATTTCCCTTTTTATAGTATTTTGGAACTGATTGTCAAAAATTTAAATAGGGCTGGAGATGATGCCTATGCCCAAGGAAAGACTAGAGGGAGGGGTGTTCATTGTTAACAACACAGTTATTAAACCGAGGGAAAATGTTTAGTCACTTAGTTTCACTTACTTTGGAATTGACTGAGTTTATACTCTTTTTCCCATTAAATCTCAAGAGTCAGAGGGTGGTGTTAAAGCTTACTTGCCAGGAGTTCTTAGGGGCTTAATTCCCAAACTAGGCAAATTAGTCCAGAAATGCAAGTGAAACAGAGAGTACTAGCAAAAAAATCTGGGGAATGTATTTGAGACATCAATATATGGATTAGGTTACAGATGTACTTCAAATGCTTAATGCTCTGTAAGAATCCATTTCTGTAGTATTGAGAATCTTTTTTTCTTTTCAATTTCTGAAACTGCGGTAAGGCAAAAATTGTTGCGTTTGTTTGGTTTTTTCCTTCTACTTTTTTTTTTTTTTAACAACTTCTGAAACAGGAATCCGGAGCAGGTGAATGCATAGATTTGGCACAATGACTTTATTAAATTCTATGTATCTCTCTTAGTCTTTCCTTCCCTACAAGCTGAATACTTCCAGATTTTTCTGAGTAACTTTATTTCCCTGCTACATCTGGAGAACTGAGTATTTGCATCTGATCTCTTATTAGACACAAATATATCTTACCTTTCCAGTCTGGTCATCACTGTGGGATGTTTTGCCAGTTTTCCTGAAGGCTAGTAAAATCTGCCTTTGTCCTGCTGAACTCTCTTCATTCCTCTGAATAAAAGCAAGAACTTAATTCTGTGGTGTACTACTTGAAGAAGGCTAAGAAGGCTCCCTGGTTAAGAAAGCTGCTTTCCCCATGGCTCAGACGCCTAGCATCTGAGCTTTGTTAAATCCACTTGCAGGAACTGGGTAAGTATTGGTAACCTGCTGTAAGAGGGACATGTTCAACACCTTCATCTACTACTGCTGAGGGGAGAGGCCTGGAGGGTGGCACTTCTTACACCCCTACTTAAAACGTTCTTGTATTTCAAAAGGTGTGTTTCTTCAGTTTACTTTTTAAGGAAAGTAAGGTAGCTTATTCTTACATTTGCGTGGAGGCCTGATTTTCTGGAAGGAAAGCAGTCTGTTATTATTGAAAACAGTTTTCTTCTATTCATCTTTGTTTTGCACGGCATAATCTGAAAGTGCTGAAAGTCTCTGTTCTAAGGGAAAAGCTTTCATGCAAGGAAGCATTCAGTGTGCTTTGGGGCATGTGTGTTTTTCCAATGTTGTGCTTCTCTACTGGAGAAGACCAAGTGTCTGATTTGTTGTGCACGTGGTTCAGGATTAGCTTTGTCAGCTGAACTACAACATATGTGTTTTTTCTCTGCGCTGTTTTTATTTACACTGAAGTAAAGTATCTGTTGACCAGCCAGAAGTATTTTCCACGTGATACTTACGAAATTAAAATGTGGGGGAGGGAAGTTGTGTTTTTTCTGGTTTTATGTCAGAAGAAGGAACATTTAGGTGGGGATCATAACAACCTGCAATTTTGAGACAGGCAAGGCTTGATGGTGAATGTCTGTTTTCTGGTGGTTTTTTCCTATCACGTAACTTGCTTTCAACAGAAATCATGATTTTACTGTCATCTTTATGGCAGTAACAGTTTCTTTCTTTCTTTCTTTCCTTCTTTTTTTTTTTTTCCTCCCCCAACCTCCAAGTACAAAAAGGACTTCATTGCTGTACACAGTGTCTGATGTTATTAGTAACACCATTATAAAATTGTTTTTCTTGGATTTAGTTTTTTTTAATCTGCAGGAACAAAGCCCACTTCTGTATGAGCTGAGGTAACTAAAGCATATATATTGATGGTGAGGATGAGACAATAGTCTTCTCTTTCAAGATGCGCTAGGGAAATTTGTGTGTTTCCTGAAATAAACTTTCTGCTGCTCTTATCCTGTACAAGCTGGAGAAATAAGGGCTATGATGTAATCTATACTGAGTATTGATTTTGTTTAATTATTTTTTTAAAATCTTTTAGCAGGTGTATCATGATAGGGAGATGTTTCTCTTCCTAGTTGTCCCTTCTGTGGATTTCAGGCCTGTAAATCAATGACTACATTATCACTTGTAGAGGCCTTCATATTACAAGCACAAATCTCCATGACTTTGCTCTTAGAAATTACTTGTCTCGTAAACTTCAAGCTACTAAAGATCCTGCCCCCCCCCCCCCCCCAAACCCCCCTCCCCCCCCCGGAATTGAGTTTATAGCTTCTTGTTTTAGTTGTTCAAAAAATGCTTTTTGTTGTAACTGTTAGTACTGTCTGTTAAAATCTGTACTTTCTCTGGCTTTCCTGACCTGTAGCCTAGCTTTGCTGCTCATTGATGCTTCAGCATTGGCATCAATCAGATAAAATAATGTATTAATTACTTCTGGGGCACCTGGTAACAAAGACTTGAGGTGTAAATAATAAGGCTTTTTTCTTTTGTAAATTCCACTAGTGTGATGAGTTTTATTTCAGGGGAAAAACTTAGATAAAGGGTTTATTGCTGTCTTGTTTGGTCAGGTTTAAAGTTTATCTAATATGCCACTTTAACTGGAAAGCTAAAACTTTGATCCTAGATCTTCCTTTAATACTCAAGGGGAAAATATATGTGTTTTCTCCTGCAGCCATTTCAACAGTTTGAGAAAATAAATATAGTCACTTTGTAATTCCTGAGAGCTTTCTCTCCTTTTAGATTGGAAAGGAATTTAATAAAAGGCAATGAAAAGACGTTTGGGAATATAATCTTAGACCATGTCACAATTCTTTGTATAGAGAAGCAGAACTGTTCCTTAAATGTCAGACAACTTTGTCAGTGTTTCAAATGTAACATTTCTTTATGTAGTGTAGTAGCAGAGTCAGTACACAGCAAAGCCTTTGTGCGTCTAAACACTTAAAAATTAGGTTGTTTCTGTTTTTACTTCCCCCCTTGTGCCAATATGTAACAGGCCTACTCTCACTGTTTGTGCATTTGCATAGTTCCTCCTGTATACAAAGAGAGTCTCAAAACATTATTTTACACATTACTTTTTATGTACAGTAGTGGTTACTTATATCTGCAGTAACCTGTTTTTCTGAATTGCTTGCTCTATGGAACAGTTCTCTTTACCCGAATTGGAGTTGGAATATGTCTTGTAGGGGAAGGAAAAAAAAAAAAAAAATTAACTGGCTTGTTTGCTAAAGTTAGAAGCCTTTCCTTCTTCCCCTGGAAAAAGTTGTACCAATAGTTCTGGACATGGCAGAGAACAGCCAGTCTTAAACTGTGAATCCTTCTGGAAAATGATGATGATCTCTAACAAGCTCCACAGGAGTCTTTCATCTTGTAAAGTTTGCATTAGTGTTCAGTTTGGAGGTCAAATTTAGAAAATGTTGGCTTCCTACATGCTGAGTTGCTCTTTGTACATCCAGCCTTTTGCCACCTAGTATTTCTGCTACTTAAGAATGAGTTGTGCTGATACTTCCTTCATGAAATCTGAATAAGCTGGAAGGCTCACTGGTATATTCTCTTTCATGTACAGGCTCGTGTTATGTATGATTTTGCTGCTGAGCCTGGAAACAACGAGCTGACTGTCAGTGAAGGGGAGATCATCGTAATTACCAACCCGGTAAGAAAACCGAGATGGAATCAAGACTTCAGTGCACTGTCCTGGCCTACTTTGAGCAGGTGGAAGAAAAAAGGTGCTAGGTGACATCTGAAAGCCCTGGCTACCCTCCCTTGAAGAAGTAGCAAATAAACTAAATACAAAGAATTTTCTAATAATTTTGTGGAAACAAATGCAATGAGTGGTTTTGGAGACAGGGGCCTTCTCCGCTTGTGCCTACATGCTTAGGAATCTGCTCAGCTTTGTTCCCCTCTAAATAGGGCTAAGTGCCAAGGCAGAGGAAGGAGCTAATTATGGTGATACCCTTTACATCTGAATGTGTTGTCTTTTTTGTGTGCCTAATGTTCCACATTTTGTGTGTATGTAATCTTTCAGGTGCTTGCCACTTGCATTTAAATCTGACACGCCAACTCCCTTCTCCGTTTTGAGTTTTTTAATCAATGACTTCAGCATTCCAAGTTTGTTCAAAGAACTTGCCGCAAAATTTGTTACTAAATTTGTGTGTTCTTTCATGGTTAAAGCAATATGGACAAGGTACAGGGAAGGAGTGGTGAAAATACTATGCTAATAATATCAAGGAGTTCTTCTTATATTAATAGTACTTATGAGCACTGACATTTGATTTGTGTGTACAGTTTGAATTTGAGTGTGCTTTTATTGTCCTGTATAATTCTTACCCTTGGTAACAAGGTAGGAGTTAGTTGATTCCGCTTTTGATTTTTGTGTAGTGATATGGCTCAGTGAGTAGACTTTCCTTTTAAAACACATATAAACAAAACCTGCCTCATCTTGATGCCAGGTTTTATTTATCTGGTTGTATAGGAAACATATAGGAACAAGGGCTTCTCCTTACTATATGCAGGATACATAAAACTTCCAAGTGAAAGAACAAAATGGTGAATAAACAAATACATCCATTAAAAAGCAAATTAAGAAAACCTGAATTTCAATAATTGCTGTCTAGCATATGTGATTCCAATTTTCAGCTGTGAATTAGCTTGACATGTATCTATGTGTTCAAGGAACAGCTTGATTTAAAACAGAACTGGCTTACTGCAGATAATGTTGTCCTGGAATTGACTTTGCTTAACTGCAGAGGTTTCTTAGTGTATGTAGAATATGCTGTTAAAAAACCAAACAGTAACAGGATGCCCCACTGAGATCAGAGCTGAACTGTGTTAGCTCTTTCCAAACTAATAGCATGAGATCTGCCTCTGAAATTAAATGTAAACTAGAAAGAGTGTCTCCAGATCTTGCATGGCATGTGCCTCTCTTAACCTTGAGATTATCCTTAATATTCTTGTGGGTTATAGCTCCCACTCATCACACACCTCTGCACCTTCAGTAAGTGAAGCAGAGATTTTACAGGTATTACCAATAGCTTAATTCCTTGAGTCTTGTTTCTTTATAATCTGTTGAATAAAATTAATGCTTTGGAAATAGCATACCAATAGCTGTGTTTTGATGCAGTCTGTGTCCAGACAATTGACTGTGGCTTCATAAATGATCAAAAGTGCTGAAAATCAACCTTTTTCCCCTCATGCTTGTTAAATTTGAAGTCCACAATTGCTGTGTGAAACAAGCACAGTCTGTATTCTGTTTAAATGAGTATCTGCTGCTTCAGCAGATTTAAGCGAGTTTGTTCACGGTCATACAGTCATAACTGTATTTCGAACATTGCATTTGGAAGCAAGACAGTGCTTCCTCCTGAGCTGTTTAAAGCGTGCTGTGAGATCCATCTAGCAAAACTATTTCTATATTATTACTTCTTTTAGGATGTCGGTGGAGGCTGGTTAGAAGGAAAAAACAGCCAAGGCGAGAGAGGACTTGTTCCAACAGATTATGTTGAGGTAAGTGACTACTATCACTGCTCTGCACTAAGAAAGCAGAACTACTGAAAAGGCCATCCTCTGGTTCACTGATCAGACTGTAATGCTCAAACATAAAACTTCCAGTGTTAGAGCTGGGAATATATAATCTTATTGTAGGAACTGTAGCTGGCTCTGGAGACCAGTGCAAACATGCCATGCAAAGCTACTGTGCTTCTTAGTGGTTTCCCAAGAAATGCAACAGGAGGTTGTCTATAGTAAATACTAGCGATCTGCAGAACGTGAGCTATTTTGAGTCTGCTTCTGGTTTTGGGGGTCTCATGATCCAATAATTGTTTTGTTTTCCTGTCTGAAGATACATATATGGAAGTGAAATGAGTAATGCAAGTTTACTCTGGTGTTGCTGTGGCTGAATCTCTGGAATGGAACCCCATTTCTGGGGCTCAGGATATGGGATCCCAAATCCAGGGACTACTCAGCTCATCTTTTTCCTCAGGGCCTTTGCTGCCTCTTCAGTGTGTGTTGATCTGCTGTTTGTTTAAAGACTGGTGGTATGGGGGTGGGGATGGAATGGGGATCTCAATGCAAAGACTGGAATCCAGTTCACTCTTGGAGGGCCCAATGTCTGTATGTCTGCAGGTTGCCAGTTAGGTGAAGACTCTAGCTGTAATTCCTGCAGCCTCCTCTTAAGGCGTGTGCCTTCCTTCACCAGGGCTGTGTTTAATTTAAAAAAAAAAAAAAAAAAAAAAAAAGAAAGGGGGGAGGGTGAGGGGAGGATGCTTGTTCACATAACCTTGTCTTTTGTCTTCGGTTGGCTAGCTCATGGTCTAGTAGCTTTTGGCTCTCCAAACTTGCTGTCCCAAACTGATCCTCCGAGTACTAGATCCCAGTCCCCAAGCAGTAATGTTAACAACCTTGTTAATCCCCAGTGAATTTATAGCGAGGTGTCCACTGCCACAACAGTCTTGCGTGTTACGCTGTGATAATGCAAACCAGTTCCATCTGTTGTGGAAGTAAATCCTCCAGATTCTCACATCAACTTCTTGTAAAAGGTACTATTCAATTTGAATTCAAAAAGGGTATATGCAACTATCTTAACATCTAGTGACATGAATGTTAGGGTGATTATATATGATGAACAGCACAATTTGATTAATGGAAGCATGAAAAATCTTTTGCAACTTTTTCCATTTCAGATTATAACCGAAGGTGCAAAAGATGGAATTAGCTGCGGTAACTCATTAGCTGACCAAGCCTTTTTTGATTCCCTTTCTTCAAATACAGCTCAGACCAACTCTGCTGCAAAAAGCAGTAATCAGGTATGTCTCCAGGTTTTTCAGGCACAGTGGGCATGGCAGGTTCTGTTGACATAACTGCTTGCACTCTTCAGTTGTGCTGTACCATATTTGTGAACCCTCATAAAAGTACCAATTAAAGTAACTGTGTCTTTGTTAGGGAGCGCTTTTCTTGAATATTAATGATATGGGTACCTGTTCAGCTACTGTCCCTGCTGGAAGAATTAGTATTCTAACACTTTCAAAAATAGAGCATTTTTATTCTTTCCAGCCTGCAGTCATATAAATCTGACTACCTCGATCTCTGTTTGTACCTCAGTTCTGTATAAATGCACTCTTAGCAAATTTACTTTATTTTCAAGTTCCTTGTGTTAGTGTGCTAACCTTTTTAAGGAACTGTAACTTACTACTTTCTTTAAAACGTCTACTACAATTGGGTGATCCGTGTATCATCAGCCAGAGTGAATGGATATTTATCTTTTTCACAATTTGAGTAAGAGTTGTTTCTTTGATTAAAAAAGACGAAGCAAATTCATGCATTGTCCTAGTCAGTTGGAGAAGAGGCTGACTTGGGTTTTGCTGGAAGAATGTTGTTTGGTTTTTTTTTTCTTTTTTCCCCTCCTTTTATTCATTGCTTTTTGCCCAGCATGTCAGTTCATTAAGCAGCAAGTATTTAGTCTCAGGTTAGATATCTGAAGACATACATTATCTTAAACACAAGCTGCTTGTTATGGTTTACAGACTGCTGCATGTCCCACATGTAGGAACAGTTAAACATTTCAAAGTCCACAGGTCAACAGAAGAACAAAATCTGCTTTTCCCAACAGCAGCATTCAAAGGTCTCGTGTTGGAACGTAAATGCTTTACTCATTGTAGCAGCTGGGGACACAAACCTGGTTTGTGGATCAGTTAAATATCAGTTATTAGTTTTCTTAATTGTAACGTGCGACACAGGACTTGGACATGGTGAGATCTCTTGAAAACTGTACATGGGGCACTTTTGTATAACAGTGAATGTAACAGTTTATTGACTGTATAGTGTTTGATTTGTGCCTCCTTGTATTCAGCTGGACAATGCCAGTATTGTGATTCTGTGATCACACGTATAGTGAGAACTCCAGACCTCACTGTGACTATTTCACTATTTATCACTAATTTTTTTATTGATGCCCAGTTAATATTTAGATTAAACACAGAACTCTTGAAATGCCTCATTAATTTCTCATGTCAGACTGAGCCGAAAGCATTGATTATAGGTTCATTTTCCCCTCAGTAAAACTTAACAGTAATTTTGAAGGTAGAGTGGGAACCTCATTTCTTCTGCTGTGTCTGTTATCCTTGCCCCAGTTTTTCTTTCTATAGAGTTTCTAGCCAAACTTCACTTCTGGGTAAGCTTGAAATATTTGTAGCAGCTACTTCTGTCAAATCCAAATACTGTTCCTCTTCTGAAGAAAAAGAAACATATCACTTAATTTGACCTAGGAAGAATTGCTTACTAACAAAACAAATATACAGTATTTTGAATGGTGGTAGAGGCATCTATCAGAGGTTGATCTGTGCTTAACACAAGGTACTTGTGCCTGTAGAAGGGAAGAAAAAAGGCCTTGCCTATATAGGAGGAAAGGTTAAAATAAAGAAATCTATTATATCCTAAATAATAGAGAATTACTGTGGCAATCTAGTTTTGGAAGTTGCATTTCCAGAGGAGGGAAAACCTTGAAAATGTGGTCACTTTACAGTACAGTTTACACAGGATCAGCAATATACTGGCCCTGTAATCCATACAAATTGCAGCTTCTCCGTAACAAATTTTGGAAAGGAGTAACTTCAGGCAAACAGCTTATCTCATATATTTCAGTGCCTTATTCCTCTAAGTGTCCTATTCCTCTCCATTATCCTTCAAATGCTGTGTGAGAGAGTTTGGTACCCTGGTTCTCCCTAGTGTATTATAGTAAAACTCTACTGCTAAAATTAATAGGAGAGAGAGAGAAGAGGAGACTATGCACTTGGATGCAGCCAAGGCCATGCAAGATGCGGGGGAAGCAAATTCACTCAGGCTAGTGTGTTTGGGTCTTTTGTTTTCCTGTTTTTTCATAGCAGGAACCATACTGTTTTGCATGGTTAGGATTTTACGTCATAAGTTATTTCCATTTTCTCAAGTTTTTTTTTTTTCTTTAACCGACTTCAGTAACTGCAGTTTAGTTATATGTATTTTCTAGAAAAATAGCAGATGAAGGCTGGTTTCTTCAGCTTCTGACATACATCTGGTAGTTTGTTCCAGTGGCTTATCGCTAATAGGAATTTAATTTGTATACTAAGCAGTCTGGCTTCCACTTTCGGCTGTTAGGCCTTTCTCACATATCAGAGAGCTCTCTAGAGCATGGTATTTTCTCCCTGCAAAAATTCTATGGCTAACTGTCCTCTCGATTAAGAAATTCTATCTGTTTGTTCTATCTGTCTGGTGTAAGACACTTTTCCTGCCCGCAAAAAAACCCCCCATAGCTTTCTTCTGCAGTCTCTTTGATCTTGTGACTTGTCTGTAAAATGTGTGCGTTGCTCCTGTGTGCATCGCATGGTGTCAAACAGGTTTGATGTTGCTGTTCTGGTGTAGAAAAGCCTGATATAGCGAAAGATTGCATTGATTCCGGTAATATTGCATCAGGAGCTTATACTGAGTTGCTCATCCCCTGCATACTGGCTTCTTTTTTAGAACCACTGCCTATAAGAATATGTTCTTCTACTTTGTGGGTATGACCCTTCTTCCTGGATGTATTACTCTGCAGTTGGTTATGATAACATTTACATTGTTTAACATGAGTTTGCTCAGGCACTTTGGATTGATCTGTGTTCCGATGCACAGTTGCAAGCAATTGACTTACTCTTTTCAAGTGCCTTAATGAATGACTAGGTCAATATACAAAGCACTTCATCTTAAATGAAACTTGTGTGTTCAGGCTATGGAGAGCAAAGAAAAATGACGAATTAGGTGTCAATGTAAAGAGAATCGATGCTGGAGGTGGCATGGTAGTGGGAACTAAAATGTTCATAGATGTAGTCTGGTGGACTGAATAAGAAAGAAATAGCAGTGTTCCTAAATGCTGACATTTTATGCTATCATATTTCACAGTAGCATGGGGGGGGGACACAAGTGTATTCCAAGAAGACTTTATAAAAGCACTTCTAAATAAACAGGATGTTTTGGGATTTTTCTTACTACTACTGTATTGAAGAAATTATTTTCTGTAAACATTAAGTCACTTTAACATACACATAATTACACAAGACTCCCACCCCCCAATTTCAATAAGTCAAAAGATGTTTTAATTCTTAGAATTCCTTCCATTCTTCTAACAGTAAGTAAAAAAAAACCAGGTTGTCGCATAGTCTTTCAGTACCAAGCCTTACTAAAAATAATAGATCTGGCTGACTTGCAATGTGTGAGTGTGGGGGTTTTTTTGGTTTTCTTTTTAAGAGACCAGTTAAACCACAGTGGTTTAACCCCGGCCGGCAGCTCAGCCCCACCCAGCTGCTCACTCACTCCCCCCCAGTGGGATGGAGGAGACAATCAGAAGGGTCAAAGTGTGGGAACTCGTGGGTTGGGATAAAGACAGTTTAACAGGTAAAACAAAAGCTGTACATGCAAGCAAAGCAAAATAAGGAATTCATTCACTACTTCCCATCGACAGGCTGGTCTTTAGCTGTCCCCAGGAAAGCAGGGCTCCATCACGCTTAATGGTTACTTGGGAAGACAAACACCATGACTCCAAACATCTCCCCTTTCTCCTTCTTTCCCGTAGCGCTTATTGCTGACCATGATGTCATATGGTGTGGAATATCCCTGTGGTCAGTTGGGGTCAGCTGTCCCGGCTGTGTCCCCTCCCAGCTTCCTGTGCACCCCCAGCCTCCTCGCTGGTGGGGCAGAGTGAGAAACAGAAGGCCTTGACACTGTGCAAGTACTGTTCAGCAATAACTAAAACATCCCTGTGTTATCAACACTGTTTTGGTCACAGATCCAAAACATAGCACCAGACCAGCTACTTTGAAGAAAATTAACTCCATCCTAGCCAAAACCAGTATAACCAGTTATATTTGAATGCAAACTTTGTCTCTAACTCTTTTTTTCTGTTTTGGTTTTATTTTTGAAGTTCGGAACTGGTTAGCCTCTCAGTTTAGAAATATATCTCAAATGGCAATGTGCTTCTGACAGGGCTAAAAAAAAAAAATCCAACAAACTTATTTTTTAGCTTTATACATTATATTTTTTCTGGCATATCTTCGTATGCCCTGATAGGTCTGGGGGGATGACTGCTTTTCTTGACTAGCAATGCTGCATGTAATACAGAGCCCTAAATCATTACGGTTTTCCCAGATCAGTTTCTATGCATGCATATCTCTCTCTCAAAATAAAACTTACTTCCTCCCTCTGTCTACACCCATCCCTTTTTGCTTTCCAGGCAAACAAGAGGCTTTTGGTTTCCTACTCTGGAATCCATAACTTCTTGGTGTTAAGAAAACATCATCAGCTCAAACACTGCCCTACTCTCTGTCTGTCCTTTTCCAAGAAGGTTTTTTGTTGTTGTGCAGTAAACAATCTCCTGAAAGTAATTAATAAGCAATAACTAAAAGCAGCTGCTCTTACTTCCTTTTCTTCACTGAGAAAGAGACAATGACCACAGCAACACTTTGTTGTACCTTACCTGGGTTTGCCACGGATGTAAAGTGACAGTAAGAAAAGGGGCACAGAGGTACTTCTTAAGGAGAAGAGAAGAATTCTGCACAACCCTCGGCAGTTCGCTCTTCCCCAACTCATTCCTTGCATCACTAGTGTCCCAGCCATAGCTGCCTTGGTAAAGCTTGCAGCTGCTCTTTTAAAGAGCTACCTGTAGAAGATATTGGGGAGATGAAAGCAATCAGAGGAAGCAATGAAGCTAATCATACACAAACAAGGGAAAAAAATTACTCAATGTGACTATTTTCACACTCAGAAGAAGAAAAGCAGGTAGGATAATTTAATGTTACATCTG